GAATTTTTAAGAGGTCGTGAATTTGATATTACATATCTAGTGTAAGGATCGAACGAAGCGGAGAAAGTTAGATTGATATCTAGGCAAATATAACTATTCATGAAAGAGAAGAAATCTTATATGCAACCTATTTAGAATTAATAGCAAAATTTATTTCTACTAACCGTATAAACTTTTTTTTTTCAATTTTGTAATATTTATGAATACGACTTTTAATCAGATTAAGTAAGGTCTCCTAGGTTTAGTTTCATAATTAGGTGTTAAGCGTATACATGTATGCATAAAAGTAAAGGTCGAACCACACCCCCTATCGAACTTGATCGACAGAAAAGCAACTGAGTTAGATCGAACTCCCAACCATATCGTCGTCGCTGGGCCCACCGTCGCATCGATGCTGCTAACATTTACAAGTAAGTTTGATCATACACAATTATCTTCCTTCTTTTATTCATACATGTTTGCCTATTTACATAAATTTGATTTTGATTTTGCTATGGTTTAATAGTTAGCTATACAAGTATATATCCAAACTTTTTTTTTGCTCTACGTGGAAATTGCATTTAGCATAATAGTAGCTACTAGTTGTATAGAACACTTTGTTTTTTTTCTCAATTATTATAAAAATTGTTATTAATAATTATTGTTATTAGACTGTAAGTAAACCTTGTGCTGAAAATAGTTAAAGATGTCTCTATTAAAGCTCATGAAGAGAAAGATTATAAGGTAAAGTGATGTGGTGATATCATTTTTAAGGGGGGACAAAAGATGGGATAATGTCTTGATAAGGTGAAGTGAGGAGTCGTAGGGTTAATAGAATGAATTAGTAATCTGTTAACAGGTAGGGTGGGTAAATAATGAGGGAGAAAAGCCATCTTCTCTCCCCTCCAGGTGCATTGTTACTGTTGGGTTTCTTTTTCTTTGTGCTCTTTTCATGCTTGCTCCTTTTACTTATTTTTTTTGCTGCTTCTTTCAAAGTTTTCTAAGCTGGTTTCAATCACTTCGTTTTTTTTTTATCTGCATACATTTATATTTTTAGTAAGGCTTTCGTTGCATGCGCTGAGGCAAGCCCACGCCCATTTTACCTGAACTAAGCTGTAGCATAGCAAGGTATGCAGAACCGCCGACTGTTCATGCACCTACAAATTTCCCTCTTTCTTTTTAGGCAGCCCTTTAGGAGAAAGTCGTTACAGAAAAATATTGGCGCCCAACGTGGGGCCCGAGGGTGCATCAGGGACATGTTTTTTGTTGCTCCTCACAGCTCCCGATTTCATTTTCTCCCAATTTATTTACATCATTTTGGCAATGGGTAAAATATGCCGGAGTTGCATGGTTTGGATATTTTCGGATCATGCCCGCTAATTGTTCCAAAGCCACAATCATTCTACTTAATTTTACTCAGGTTTAATTTGGCAATGAAGCTGGACTTTCTGTTAATTAAGTGCTCTTGATTACTGACCGTGGAATTGATACTTTAGACTTGAAATAACAATGTATTTCTTTATTAGACTTTGGTTAATGAAGCTGGACTGCAGATTTACTGAGTTATTTCGGTTTCTGACCGCTAAATTACCAAGTCAGAATTTCTCTGGTAATTATACTCTGGATTGACGTTTAGATTGTTGAGATGCGGGAACGATACGCAATAGGGTTGTGTTATCAGTATTTCGTATCTCTGTTCTGGCAGCTTGAGTGTTAGTTACTTAAATGTGTTTTTTTTTTCTCTTAATAACTAATTTACTTTTTGGATTTTTCATCCTCTGGAATGTTCCGGAGATAAACCAAAGTAGATATACCAAAATAAAAAAAAAAAAATAAAATAAAATAAAATAAAATAATATGAAAATAATTAATTCTGGTGGCCAGCACCACTTTGCTTTCAGCCAAACAAACAACAGTGCACGCTAAATTTTTTTTTTCCTTGCTCACCTAGGTATCCGTCACGACATATCCTACCGAGTAGTCCCCAAACAATTGCTTAATATATTCATATCGATAGCTGTTCGCTTTTGATTTAACTGTTTTTTTTTGTAGAGGTGATTAACCTATTAAAACATCATATCCAATCGGTGCTCAAAGCAAATCACTTTCAATATTATATGTACATTGTGCTTGCCGAAAGATATGAATAGCTTCTAAATTTTAACTTGTGCTTAATACAATGCCCGTGACTCATAGCCCGGGTAATGCCTCTGGAGGCATTGATATAGATACCATGAACAATACAATTTGCGCAATATGTAGTGAGGTTTTACAAAGCAGTAGAGATAGAGTAGAAACTCCTTGCAATCATCATTTCCATATCAAATGCATTCATACATGGCTGGAAAATAACGAGACCTGTCCAGTGTGTCGACAAGCATGTAATGTCAATGATTTAAAGTCGACCAACGTGGATGTCGAGATTGCTAATCCCCCTACTGGTCAAAGGACTGGGGCCATACCGCGCAAGCGACCCAACACTCGTAGTTTTGTACAAAGTAATCCTAATACTCGCATTACTGCTGCATCTGCGCATACCGCTCATCAGACACAAAGTCCTAGAAATAGAACTGGCGGGCGGCAACAGGAGACGAACGTTAATGTTATAACTGAACCAAGAGTAAGAGACTTGATAGTAGAGTCGCTTAACGTATTCCGAGAGGAAATTACAAATGATATTTCAAACGACCTTCGCAATATGTTACGAAATCTCAATTTAGCTGGTAATATACCTTTTTCCCCAACCAGTTTTCATAGAGAAGAGCCGCCAGCCTGGCCGCGGGATGCTCCTTTCG